CTGGTTCAGAGCTACAGCATAGCTGCAGCAGAGCTGTTCCCAGCTGTCTGTGTGGCTGTTTTTTTGTAGCAGGAACTGACTCATCACATCCCACTGCTGCTGGGATTTCTTTACTTTCTCTGGTGGAGGCTATTGCTTTTAGAGCCAAACTGTTCAAGTGTGGCTTTTCAGCAGCCTTGAAACAAAATTAAGCCTGTGCCACTGATCGTTTCTGGTCATCTCTTAAACGTGGAAGGGTATCACAGGCTGAGTGTTCATGACTCTCTGAAGGATTGTGAGGCAGGGATTCCTTCCCTCAGGGCAGGACTTCTTGCACAGGAGGAGGTTTTCTCCCCCCAGCAGTTCAGGCTAATGTCAGGGGCATCCAGGTTCTTCTGCCCTTCTGATGTCCCTGCCACACTGTGAGGTGAGAGCTGCTGCTCAGGTTCTGTTGAATTAAAAATAGACTGTGCTTTTCACTGCCAAGAGTTGATGGTTTTGGTTGAGGGGATGGTGTCCAGGAGGAGAAGGCGGACCAGAGTGAAGGCATTTAAAACAACAGGGCAACACAGTGCTGCAGGGGGTGATTATCAGCCCCACCATGACTCCCCGGTGGATGTTGTACTGCTGAAAACATTTGTTCTGGCCCTAGCTTCAGCACACCAGAATGCCTCCCCACCCTTCCGTACTTTTAATCACTGCTGCATTTTACTCTGATGGACTTTGCTGGCAAATGCCTGACTTAGCTTGCCTTAAAGTAAAGCTGATGTTAAAGGCATGCAGATTTGTTTGAGAGAAAAAGTTCGGTTTCCTCCTCTTCTCTTTCCAAAAAGACCTGGGAAGGGCCCAGCCCTGTCTCATCCAAGCTCCCCCTGAAATCAGTGCACTCCCTCTGGACATGCATGCCAGATTAGTGTTCCCTGGGGAACTGACCCATGCGCATCCAGGGGAGACCATGTGCCACAGAGGTGTTCTACGCTTCAGTTTGGCAAGAGCTGCAGGCAGTGGCAAATTGGGATCGCTGATGTGGCTGGGATGAGAACATCACTTAGGCTGAGTCATCGCACCCTGCCACTCAGTGTCAACTCTGAACATCATCTCCTTGTTAGTGGCGGGGGCAGTAGCTCTGTGTGAAATCTGAGCTCTTCTCCCATAAAGCAAAATGTATCGTGCTTTTCTTCCTTGGGACAAAACAGATGTTTTTTTCTCTGTGGATTGGCTAAAAAATCATCCCAAGGTTCAAGGCACCTGAAGCTGCAGGTACTTATGCTGAGATTACCAGTTACAGCCTTAGAGGCTGGGCAAGTGGACCACTGAGATATGAGGTGTCTGTATCCTTACTGTTAACTGGTCTTGCGCTGTTTTTGTGACTGGAAATTGCAGCCATTCAGCATCCATTGTTGCTGTGGAGGTTTTCAGTTTTGGTAAAACCCAGATTGGGGGGCACTGGTAATAAGTGAATCTAGAATATTTTTAAACAGATCAAGTGTGCTAAGTTCTGAGCATGATGCAATTGAGATACCTTGGCATTGGGAGCTAAATCACTGTAGACCTAGTTGATAATAGAGTAGGTGAAGAAAACACTATAATGTTTCAGACTGTGCCTAGCTGTTACAGTGTGTTATGGGATATCAGCTTTACAGATGTTACAGTCTGCCCATGTTTCATCTGTGAGCTTGGAGGGGCAGCTGCTGCTGGTAGAAGGTACTGACCATAGCAGATGTTTATTGAATTGCTGTATTTCCTGCTGGATATGGTGGTCACAGCCTCTGTGCATTCACTGTGAACCTGAGGATGCTTTGACAGAAAGAGGGAGGGTCTGTCAGGAGTGCATTTCTCGGGACAGAAATAAAAAGGTCTAAGGACCTGGTTTCTGGCCACAGCTCATGTGCTGTGAGATCAAAGGCATCTCTTTTTTTGGTAGCTTCTGTCTTCTGTGTTTTCTCATAGCAGAGATTAATGTAAGAGGCATTGCTGTACAGGCAATTACCAGTAGTATCGTTACAGTCCTTTCTGGGCTTGAATCCAGGATTAGGGAGAATATAATTATGAAATTTTCAGCCTACTTTTGTCAGTGGATGTTTCTCATTTTTATGTGATAAAGACTAAAGCTGCATGAAAAATCCATGTCCAGTCTTGCTCTGCATCACAAAACCCTTTCTTGACTCTCTTTAACTGGTAATGCTGCTGTGGACTGTATGTGTAGAAAGTGTATACTATAGAAGACAGACCTGTTTGCGGCCTTGGTCGCTCCTAGTCCTTGATTAGAGTCCATTATAAGCACTTTACAGATGGACACAAGTATCACTATCTCTGTTCAGCAGCTAGGGAAACTGAGCCATGGAAGGAGAATGGTGCACACAGAAAGACTTGAAGGTAAGAAGAGATATCAGCCTTTCCCCTGAGTAACACTCCCCCCCAAACCCTGCTAAAACGTCCAGAAGGCAGCTTGTAGTAATCATGCACAGGGCATCTGCATTTCCTAAGCCTTCAGTAACATGGACACTGAGTCTTCTCACCGCCTGAAAAACTTGAGAACTGAAGTCTTACTTCTGGTATTCTCCCTGAACAGAGGCTTCTGTTACAGACAATCTACATTGTTGATTTGATTTGATTTCCTTCTTGTACTTATTAAGTAATAAACTAATTACCTGTCAGAATAACTGAAGGAAGCATCCCATATTCTTGGCTGGATACATGTTACGGGGAAACCCTGTCAGAATGAATTTTTGAATCAGGAATGTTGTAAGATAAGGTTTCTCATACAGCCCTGTAAACTAGTTTTGGTGAGCAGGGGAAAGAACAGACTCTCCTTGCTGAGTGTTCCTCCTTCACATCCCAGCAGCTGCTCCAAGAGACAAAACAGAAGCTGGGGGGTGCTGTACTTTTAATTCACTATGTGGCAGATGCTGGAACTTCCTTTCTAAACTTACGGTGGTTTGCAGTAACCTTGACTCTCATGGTTCACTGGTTCCTAGCAGGGTGCAGATGTTTCTTGTCAGCTTTGGCCATCTTTCAGGGCTCTAAATATTGCCTTTAATAAAGAGCAGTGATGAAACAGGGCTGAGATGAGTGAGGTTCTGCAAGTTGCCATGGCTTTTGAAGCATTTGTACAAGTGAGGCTCTGTAGAAGTGTTAGCTCACCTGGTTATTCTTTGCTCTTGTCAAATGTTAGAGTTGGGAGTTTGAAAGTAGTTGTGCCTGATGAATGGACAAGGTGTTGTTTGGAGGGAGTGTCAGAGCTCTGGAATTTGCTTTCTTCAGAAGTTTGGAGCAGACCAACTTTAGAGAATTTCAGACATTCCCATTTCAGGAGGGTTTTTTTTTTTTTTTTTTTCTAGGGTAGCTGGTGGTTAGTGATGGTAATGCTCCTTACTAGAGCACTGAGACTGAGACCCTTCTGTTGTAGCACCTTATTATTTTTGCTGAAATATATGCCAAATCAAATCCCCAGTACTGTTAGGAACAGGATAAATGTCTGTTTTCCCCAGATACTCGATAAAAACAGTTGTACCCACAGTGTGGATGTGTGATACTTTTGATGTTCTAGCAGGGCTAGGAGGATGAAAGCAGAGGTGAAATGGGCAAGTATCCTTCCTGTAGGAGCACTGCGTACCTCCTCCTCTTAAACCATGAATGGGAAGAGAGTTAGGGCACAGGTGACGATTTGTGTGAAAGGAGGCATGCAGAATAGCAAAGATTTTTATTTTAAGCTCACGTTACATGAAAAATCTCATCTTTAAAGGGTTAATAAGTGCCTAGCAGACACTTCAGTAGATGGCTAGATAATTGTTACTGGAGTGCAATGATGGGTTATTCTAACCCTGGCTTGTCAAGCCTGAAGATTACAGTGATGTATGAAACCATGGTATGTTGAAGTGTTGTGTTTAAAATCATATTTAACTCATTCCACTCATCTGCCCTGTGCATGACCCATGTTGATCATTCATTAGCCCTGTGTAAACAAGGATTTCTGTATAGTACGCTTTTAAAATAGAAACACTGCCATGCGCACACATAGAGATGAGACTTTGCAAGAATTTTTATGCCAGCATCAGAGAAAAGCTTTTCCAAAGTTAAAAGGCTTCCTGTGTGCAGGGGTTTTTATGTGGGGGTGTCCTTTCTGTTGTGGACAGCTCTTACTTCGTTGAGGGGAGAAGCAAAGCAGGAGCACAGCTCAGCCAGAGCTTTCCTACTGTAGTAGGGGTGGGAGGAATCTATAAATGCACAATTTATGTAAATTGCCCTGGTATTGCCATGCTGAAAATGCTGACTTTGAGCAGCTGGTGAAGGAAATGATTGCCACCACAAGGGAGGAAAGCAAACAATTCTCTAGACGGGCCTAGGTGGCTTGTGTCTTTTTCCCATTCTGCAGACTTGCTCCAAGTCCTGCTTTTTCTAGCACTGCCTCCCTGTGGGATGCCTGCTGCTTATCGGTGGCATGGAAGCTGCTGAGGCTTCTGAGGATATTATTTTAAAATTTGGGGAGTTGTACTGTTTCCAGGACAACTGGGAAAGAATGAGGAAGGGACTTGTGCTGAGTCAGCTTGGAGCTACTGAATACTCTGGCTTGCTTGCTGCATTTTGTCCTGGAAAATGGCTAATGGCCTACTTTTACAGGGACCCCTTCAAGCCAGGAAAACGACTGGGTTAAAAAATACTAATGCAAGAAGCAAATGAGGAGCCAGTGTTGTCAGGTGCAATTGTAGGCTGATAGTCACAAACACAATAGAGAACACAATTTATGGAACCTCAGCACACTCAGAAGGTGACTGCAGAGCAGAAAGTGTTTCTAGGCTGGAAAGCTCATATTTGGGTCTCCATGTTTAACTCTTAACCTCTAATGACTGCTAAATAAATGTCCCTGTTCTACACAGCTCCTTCAGTTAAGTGGAATTTGCTATACTGTGCAATTTTGCCTCTGTACCATTAATTGCTTTTTTTCTAAGAGGAATTAAATCTTTCTTGAGACTGTAATGTAATCTGCTTTTTCTTCTCTCCATATTCTTTCCATCTCATAGGAATGCTAAACTGCAGAGTACGGTGTTAGATTCCAGTACTGCCATGGAGAGCAGTGAACTTCAGGAGAAAGATGCCACTGGAGCCCTTGGCCATGATCTCAACAATGGCAACAGCAGCAATTTGGAAGCAGCCAGGCGTCTGGCTAAGCGCCTCTACCATCTGGACAGATTCAGACGCTCTGATGTGGCAAAGCATTTGGGTAAAAAGTATGTGCTGATATGAGGCCTTTGGCCACATCATTCTTCATGCTGGTTCTGGAGGTGTTCACTCTTGAATGATAACCCTTACTTTTTTTCTTTGTTTAAAGCAACGAATTCAGCAAGCTTGTGGCTGAAGAATACCTTAAGTTTTTTGACTTCACAGGCATGACGCTGGACTACTCGCTGAGGTACATGGCTGTTTACAGACCTTATGTTTTTGTTATAGTAATAGTGCTGTTTGCTGTGTTGTCCTGATTGAAGTGGTTGCCCTGTGGGGGCGTAAGGGAGTGGAGAGAGGGATGTGATGCATTTTTGGGATGAAGGTCTTCTTTTTGGCTTGGTGTGCTGGCTGCTATACTCGAGTGCTATTGGAGTGATGGCATTTCCTGGAGAAGGAAATGTTTGGGTGGACCTGCTTAGAGATGGTCCTTGATGTGGAGAAGGAGGAAAATGACCAGTGACTCAGTAAACTGGGAGCATGTGGTCTGTCAGGTGCCATTGGTGAATGAAGGTGTTGCTCGCAGTTGAGCCGCACAGATTTTTTTTGGCTGTTGTCTTTTAGAGCTTGCACTGCCTGGCTGCAGTGCAAAAAGCCAGGATCAGGGTTTGATGTGCTCAGCAGCCCCCCTTGCTGTGTTCCTCTGAGGCATACAAAAAGGTGCAGAACAACAAAAGCTTCCACATGGAAAATGCTATTGAGCTTGGTAGCTGACAGCATGGGTGTTTAAAGTCCCAGCCTTGCAATTTTTCTTCCTTTTTGCACTGGAATTAAGCCTCAACAATGTTTGTTTTCAGTATTTTTTTTTCCTTAGGAAGCAAAACACCAAGTTGGTGTAGCAGTGGCCTGTTAGTATGGTTGTTGGTGTTTGGGTGCTTAAAGGGATTTATAGGGAGTTTAAATCATCTGGCTGAGGTAACCTCTCAATGGGTTATTGCTTTTTTGTTAACGATACAAAACCAGGAGGCCCACAGGCACTTGCCAGTTGCCTTGCAAATGCATTTCCAGGGGGCTGAGTTCAGGAGACAATGGTAGAGCCCAAGGAAAGCCCAGAGTCCTGCCTGCTAAAGTTAGTGGAAAGGAAGCGTGCCTGCAGAAGAGTGAACCATCTGTTCCAGTGGTAAGGGCAGAAGAATCGAGCTGGAGCACCCACTCAGCACAGGGCAGAAGCAGCCAGGATGGTGGCAGCACTGGTGCTCATTCTGGGTTTTAGTAGCCCTGAAGCGTGATGCTAAATATACCCATCTTTTAAATTTTGAAATCCAACACCTAATTGCTTTGTGACACAAACTTAGGAGGTCTCTGCTCCCAGTAGATCTCCTGTTAATATTAATAGTCATGACCTTCTTTAAAATATGCCTTGACTCGTGGGACTTAGACATGCCAGGAGTCACTGCAGCAACTGTCCAGAGTGTTGACCTGAAGCCTGGGGAAGCTGAGGCATGCTGTCTCACACTTCCAGAGAGCATTCAGTAACTGCCCTGTTGCTGCTGGCTAGCTGACAAGCTGTAGTTTGTTAAGCATTTTGGAGTCTGTGGTGGCAGCCCAGACTCACTCTCTCAGGCTGTGGGAGGCCATTGTTCTGTGCATTTTGCTGTCAGTGGCAAGTCTGGGGCATGGGAAGGGTTGTTCCTTCATCATCCTGCTCTGCTTCCACACCCTGGACTCATGCATCTCCCACATGCATCTCTCATATCCTCCATAGGACTGCAGAAGGGAAGGAGGTGAGACTGCTGCTCCAGTCCCTCTCAGAGTCCGTCCTGGTACTCCCTGTGGGCAGAAAGATGCCCCTGTGGCCCTTAGCTGCACCATCATGCTCTGAGAGCGAGGAACCTGCCTTGCTTATTTACCAAGTGTTGTTTCATCAATTGCCTCTCTGAGGTAGCTTCTAGGGGCAGTAAAGGTTCTGAAGAGGGGGAGGGAGTGTAGGTCAATGGTGCCTAGCATGGCCAGGTGGTGTTGGTGGAAAGAGCCAGAGCTGGAGGAGGAGGAAGAAAGATGGCTAGTTGTCAAAATGTACCATGAGGTAGGAAGGGAAGAGAAACTCTGCAAAGACTTATTTTTATCTACTTGTGAATTGGGTTATTTGCAATACATTACATGTGAAATTTAAGTTATTATCAGGCAGGTCATACTCCATATGGGTGTGAGATCACTACAAGTACAGCCTGTCTCTGACCTTACATTAAAGAGAAAAATTTAATGTTTATTTGTCTAGAGTAGATAGATGTGAATCTTCCAGCAACATATTCCATGCCTCTCAAATCTGGTCTTAGTTTCAGTTTCACAGGATATTTAAAAATTGTCTATTAGACACTCATTTTGTACTTCAAACCCAGAAGGTTTGTGTTTTCAGGCTTTTCTTAGAAGCATCCTGGCAAATGAGCATAGGCTGATTGATACCTCTGAGGTCATCTCTTGGCTCCAGGATGTGGGGATTTTGGGAAATGAAGAAGTTCTACTTTGGCTGCGAGGCAAGTTTTTCTAGCAGGAAGAGTAGCAGGTGGTTAAGAGGCAGAGTGGTTAAATATCAGATGAAGAGTGGAAGATGTGTGTCCCATGTCTTTGTGCAGTCTTGTTGGCTGTGTCTAACAAGGATGCCCAGGTGTACACCAGCCCTGTGCCCTGGACTGTCATGAACAGGAGCCCAGGAGGGCCAGGTTGCTCCTCCTGCTATTGAAGCTCCGTGTAAGATGTTGTGACACTTCTGCCCTCTTCCCCATTTGTTTTCTGCAGATCGGGTAGTCATACTGCCCTCTGCAAGGTGACTGGTGTGGTCCTGGCCACTCTGAAAGGTGAGCTCTGATGCTCCAGAAGGAGGACTGCATGTTTGGTGTGGGCTCTGAGTCTGCAGTGCACCTGCTTGACTTCACCTGGAGTAGCTCTTCTGATTTGGATAGGAATACTAATGAGTGTAAAGTTAAAAGGTGCAAGAGTGACAGACAGTCAGAAAAGGACAGAGAACACCCTGGATGTCTGTCATGCATAAACAGCACCTGCTTCAGTTCCTTCCCCAAAGAAAACAAAAATATTAGAAATAGGAACAGCTCTTTCAACCGGTGTAATTGCTTATTAGTTTGTGTATTCCGTGGCTAAGACTACTGGTAATTTAACTCCTGCTTCCCTTACTATAATGTTGGGATTAACTGCACACAGGGTAATAATGCATTTTCCTAGAAATGTTTCTTGGAACGAAATGTCTGATGTGCGTGTATGTACTACTTGCTTTCAAGTGTGCTTTGCTCTGTGTGCTGTGTGAGGCAAAAAGAGATTTATGACTTTAATTTCACCTTTTTTGGCTCTTTTAGGAGTTTCTTTAAAGCCTTTTCACTTATCGGAGAAACTCAGGAACGAGAGAGAGTTTTAATTCATTTCTCCAGCAGATACTACCAGTGCAACCCAAACACCATTTCTTCTCAAGGTAATTTTGTTTCTGATACACAGGTCTTTGGCTGTCTCCCTCTTCCTTCATTCTTCCCTTTAGTACCATGTATGGCACATGCCAGGGATCTGGAGATGTGTAACTGCTGTGCCACACTTTAGAGACTGACTGTGGTGATCACTGAAACCCTCCATGTTCTCCACACATAATCATGTTAAGGCAGTGAAAAATCTGTATTTATTCCCTGTCAGGAAAGGTCTTTAGGTCTTACTGTGGTTTAACCCAAGCCAGCAGCTAAGCACCATGCAACTGCTTCCTCACTCACTCCTTCTTGCTCCCAGGGTGGGCTCCCAGTTGCCCACCACTTGCTGACCCATACCCCCCTACCCCAGCCAATTCCCCACAGTTTCTATACTGAGCATGATGTACCATGGTATGGAATATCCATTTGGCTTAGTTTGGTTCAGCTGCCCTGGCCATGCTCTCTCCCAGCTGCTTGTACACCTGCTTGCTGGCAGAGCCTGGGAAACTGAAAACTCCTTACGTTAAGAGCAACAAATAAAAACATCAGTGTGTTATCAACAGTATTGTCACACTAATCCAAAACACAGCACTGCACCAGCTTCTAGGAAGAAAATTAACTCTACCCCAGCTGAAACCAGGACAGGTCTCCTCAGTGTAGATCCTCAGTTGTAGCATCTCCAGATTTGAATGTCCTTAGCTGTGGTTTCTGGTCTATTTGACTTCCAGTGTGTGTGGGTACCTGTACTCTGGCTACATGCATGTAGACAAGAATAGGTCTCATCTCAAGTAAGAGAAGCTTTTCGCTTTCCATGCTCCATTCAGTGCTTGTGTCTCTGCATGCACTGGCAGCAGGCATGCCAGTTCTTGCCAGTTGTGGGTGTGAATTTTGAGTGCTCTATCCAGTCCCTGGCATGGTTTCATCTTGACTAGCTAACCTCAGCCAGAGTGCTGCCTCCTTGCCAATATTTACTGTCATTTTGGAAATGGATGAGGGAAACAAACAAGCACACAGATCAAACCTGAGAAAGTTGGCATTGGAGAAGAAGACAAACTATCCACTGGTGTAGCAGCTGCGTTCAGCCACACCGGCAGAGGCATGCAGCCCTGTGCTTGCAGCACGGCTGATCACACACTGAGAAAGGGAGGAGACCAAGAAGAAAAAAATAAGCACTGCCTAAGCTGTGCCAGTCTCAAGTGTAAGTGAAAGGAGCCACTACATTTGGAGGTACTGCCACACTTCCTTATCCCTTGCTTTGTGACCGGCCCCCATTGCAGTGAGGCAACGTTTGTCCACTTCGTGCCTGTTCAGCTTTACTGACTGGAATGCCGGGGAAGTGGAATAGAGAGCAGTAAGACAGGATTTGCTCTCATGCTATCTCTGTTATATTCCTAAGGCCCTTCTTGTTTCAAGACATTTCAGGCAGTCAGTTAGAGTAGGTGTGTCATGTCCAGACTGAAATAATGACTTATATGTTTATGTGGCAGCCTTATTCTAGTCCAGGGTGCAGGAGGGATATTGCCACTTCTGAGCCAGAGTAGGCATTTGGATTAAAGTGAGTCCTGCAGATTTTTCCCAGGATTTTATATAGTTTTGATGCTGTACTTCTGCAGTCAGCAGTCGAGTGCTACACTGCAGAAATATGGTGGTTGTTCCTTCCAATGGAAATCCAGGATTGCATTTGCCTTTCAATTTTCCCCTCCCCTTTCCCTTTTCCATCCTCTGGCTGTATTTGCAGTTTTGAAATGAGAGAACAGACTACTCTAGAGAAATGCACAGTCCTGAACTGGAGCACCACAACCCCAATTTCAAACTGCTTCAGACTTAATACTGCTAGTGATAACAGTTCTCTCATCTCATGCCCTGCTACAGTTTGGCCACGTTGCTTGGCTGCTAAGGACTATACAAACATAGTAAGAAAACATGGTCCTTACCTTGGGGAACATCTTTCCATAATGGATTCATCCCTCACATATTTAAACCTGTGGTAGTCACACCGAGTGTGAGATATACCTATCCTCTTCCCTCATTCCTCCTCCTTCACAGCACAGAGGGTCCTGTGTGTAGTCATTATCTGTATTTGGCTACAAAGACTTTGACATATGTTTCCCTGCAATGTGTGCCTATCTCATAGGTGACTATGTGTCTTTATGACACCTCTGTGAGAGAAGGGAAGGTGGCACCATGTGTTTATGAATGGAGAAAATATTTCTCCTAATGTGTTCCTAATGTTTGGAAACTGACTAGAGGCATTGGGATTTTCAGAAGTGATAGGTGGCACCATGGGCACTGTTGCCTTCATTTGGATTTGTGCAGAGCCAATATGCTTTGGGTTTTGAAAGGGGTGCCTGGAAAATGAGGACTATGAAATTGGTGTCCACTTTTGCAAATGACAGTCTACACTGACTTTCCCAAGTCTGCCACAGTGACTCTAGGAACAGTGCTAGGGATAAAATCTGTCTCTTCTGGCTCATTGTTGATGGTCTTTGCTTCAGGACCACTTTGGAAATCACTGGAGCACTCTCAACCCTATATGGAGCCAAGACAGCGTAAATGACTGTCTGAAGTTCTCCAAGATTGAGTCTAATGGAGCCCTGGATGACGAGGGGGCCAGAGGAGAAAACTAGGAAACTGTATTGTATCCACTTTGCACACAAGACTATGTCTATTTTACTCTTCCCTCTCTTCCCTTTCTGCCCTGAAATAAATGAAGAGGACGTTGATTTAGGCTATGGTATTGGTATTACCAAGCAAAGGGTGACAGCGTGGTTTCCTGTCTAGTTTGCCTCATCCTTGGGTGCTGCAGTATAGTTTTGACACTCATTAAAAGATGAAAGAAAGGCTGTTCTGGTTTGGCAGCTGTCAGATGCCCTCACTATTCATTTAATTAATTACGTGTATTTCTTGATAAAACAGATTCTTATGAAGGGAGCAGACTCAATTAGGCAATGGAGCTCAGTTTCAGCTGTGCTTAAATGTCCAGTCATGGGTTTGCATGTGACTCTGGTTATGTCTCTTTCTGCAGATGGAGTTCACTGTCTCACTTGTGCCATGATGCTGCTGAACACAGACCTGCATGGCCATGTGAGTATGCACGGCTTTGTGTAGACTGCTCCTGTTGACACTGAGCTTGGAGGCGGTGGTCTGCTGGCAGCAGAGTCCCCTTGTTTGTTGCATGCTCCAAAAGCAGACAGAAGACAGTGAGAAGGCTGCACTGCCAGGCTGTTGTCCTGGGTAGGGCTTTCCAGCATGTATGGCTTTGCCTTTGTCGTCAAGCCCATGTCTTTCTGGTGTGCTTCCCATCTTTCCCTGGTTACAGCAGCTGGCCCTTGCCAGGAAGCTGTCGTTGGGACTGGCTTCCCCTTTCCAGTATGTAAAAACATTTGAGAAGGCAGAAGGAAGGGAGATGAAAAGGTACGGGGAGAGTCATGAGGGAAAGGTGGTGTTTGCAGGCATACAGTTGCAGGGGGGAGATATGGTGGAACCAGAGTTCTTCTGGGCCAAGGTAATAACAGGTGTGCCCAGAACCAAGAGAGCAGATGAGGGACATGGGAGCCCTGTGTTCCCCCACTGCATATCTCTCCCCACTGCCTGCCTAGGGACAAATAGTATTCCAGTTTGAGTTCTCTTAGTCATCTAAGGTATGGGATGCCAGCAGCCCTCGGATGTGTGTTTCAGCACCCATGGTGCAATGCACTTGCTATGCATGGTATTCACATGCTGATGGGAGGCTTCCTCTGTTGTCAGCATGGAGAGGGGAAAACACAGGGAGCATGGCATGATACCATGCAGGAGCAGTGGCTTCAGTCTGGTGGCTTTAGGGCTTCTCTCTGGCTGAGAGGACACTAGAGGCTCTTCTAGGAGGGCCTGAGTTGGGAGCTTTTATGCATCAAGGAGGGAGGATTGGGCAGCAGGAGATGGAGGCTCCATGGGTCTGTCTCCAAGGGCTGCTTGGCCCCTGTGGGTGCAGCTTTGCTGTAGGTGCAGGTAGTAAAGCCAAGGCTGGTGTGTGCTTCCCCAGGGGTTTTGACGACCAGCTCCAATTAATTGAATACCTTTGTCTGAAAATTGTGTAAGTCGGGGGGAAGGGAGTTGCAGAGATTTTTTTTCTCTGAAGGCTGAGCCTTTTGCAACTGAGGAGCACATCAGTTACACAGGAGGGTGAGTGGAGGTACAGGAACATGCCCCGTGTGCCTCTTTGCATACACTGCTTCTCTTGAGCACACCTGAGAGCCTCCACAGGTATCCCTCTCCCCAGAGCAATAAGCAGCCTGGAGCACCTGCTCTCCAGCCTGCCTGGTGTTGCAGTCCAGGGAGGGAAACTAAACGTTTGTGCATCAGCCTGCCAGCATTTCCCATCGCTCCCTGGGATGCTTTAGGGGGCCCTACTGTCTTCATTAGGTACTGAAATAAACGATCTGACTCTGATCCATCATTGCTGTTGTTGATTTGCAGCTGAAGCTAGGATGACTGGCTGTTGCAGCTTTGGAGGCTTATCCTACTGGCAGTTGTTGATGTGTTGTTATGTGTATGCAGCTGTAATATTTGCCAGACTTCTGCATGTATCTTTTCTCAATCCGTCTCTCTCTGTCTCTCTCTGTCTCTCTCTGTCTCTCTCTGTCTCTCTCTGTCTCTCTCTGTCTCTCTCTCTCTGTCTCTCTCTCTCTGTCTCTCTCTCTCTGTCTCTCTCTCTCTCTCTCTCTCTCTCTCTCTCTCTCTCTCTCTCTCTCTCTCTCTCTCTCTCTCTCTCTCTCTCTCTCTCTCTCTCTCTCTCTCTCTCTCTCTCTCTCTCTCTCTCTCTCTCTCTCTCTCTCTCTCTCTCTCTCTCTCTCTCTCTCTCTCTCTCTCTCTCTCTCTCTCTCTCTCTCTCTCTCTCTCTCTCTCTCTCTCTCTCTCTCTCTCTCTCTCTCTCTCTCTCTCTCTCTCTCTCTCTCTCTCTCTCTCTCTCTCTCTCTCTCTCTCTCTCTCTCTCTCTCTCTCTCTCTCTCTCTCTCTCTCTCTCTCTCTCTCTCTCTCTCTCTCTCTCTCTCTCTCTCTCTCTCTCTCTCTCTCTCTCTCTCTCTCTCTCTCTCTCTCTCTCTCTCTCTCTCTCTCTCTCTCTCTCTCTCTCTCTCTCTCTCTCTCTCTCTCTCTCTCTCTCTCTCTCTCTCTCTCTCTCTCTCTCTCTCTCTCTCTCTCTCTCTCTCTCTCTCTCTCTCTCTCTCTCTCTCTCTCTCTCTCTCTCTCTCTCTCTCTCTCTCTCTCTCTCTCTCTCTCTCTCTCTCTCTCTCTCTCTCTCTCTCTCTCTCTCTCTCTCTCTCTCTCTCTCTCTCTCTCTCTCTCTCTCTCTCTCTCTCTCTCTCTCTCTCTCTCTCTCTCTCTCTCTCTCTCTCTCTCTCTCTCTCTCTCTCTCTCTCTCTCTCTCTCTCTCTCTCTCTCTCTCTCTCTCTCTCTCTCTCTCTCTCTCTCTCTCTCTCTCTCTCTCTCTCTCTCTCTCTCTCTCTCTCTCTCTCTCTCTCTCTCTCTCTCTCTCTCTCTCTCTCTCTCTCTCTCTCTCTCTCTCTCTCTCTCTCTCTCTCTCTCTCTCTCTCTCTCTCTCTCTCTCTCTCTCTCTCTCTCTCTCTCTCTCTCTCTCTCTCTCTCTCTCTCTCTCTCTCTCTCTCTCTCTCTCTCTCTCTCTCTCTCTCTCTCTCTCTCTCTCTCTCTCTCTCTCTCTCTCTCTCTCTCTCTCTCTCTCTCTCTCTCTCTCTCTCTCTCTCTCTCTCTCTCTCTCTCTCTCTCTCTCTCTCTCTCTCTCTCTCTCTCTCTCTGTCTCTCTCTCTCTCTCTGTCTCTCTCTCTCTGTCTCTCTCTCTCTGTCTCTCTCTCTCTGTCTCTCTCTCTCTGTCTCTCTCTCTCTGTCTCTCTCTGTCTCTCTCTCTCTGTCTCTCTCTGTCTCTCTCTCTGATTTCCTGCAATTTTGGTGGTCTTCTTACTACTTTACATTTTCCACATAGGTGGTAAGTTGGACATTGTTGATTCGGAATGCAGCCCCTTGCAAATATATACGAATTGCCTGTTTCCTAATAAAGATAATGCTCTGACCCATCCTTACCATGATTCTGCTGGAACAGGAAGCAAATGAGTCACAGGGCTTGCCTACACTAAGCTCCATTTGTTGCTGACATACTGATCATAAGTGTGGGCACTTTTATTTCACAATAAGCTGAAATGCTTGTAGGGCTGTAGTGCAGCTGCTCTGCCTTCAGTTCATGCTTTTTCATAACTCTTGTAGACAAACTCTTATTTATCCCTTTATTTATTCCCATCTTGCTACATTTCATTCTCTCTGTAACTAAGTCATTTTTGCTAGCTGTGTCTTGGAGATGCATGCTCACTTCTCTGCACAGAGGTCATCACCCAGACTGTGATGCTAGAGACTTTTAAGGTATCTCTAGACTGCCAGGCACATCTTCTGGAACCTGTGTGGCACTGTGTGGAGATACTATCTTTGGTCTTGGAGCAAAACAGCCATTCCTCTGCCATGGTAGTTCACAGTGGGTGATTGAGCCACACTGCTCTTGGTTTTGATTAGTATGGTGAAGCTGTAAACTGCTGCATGGAGGAAACAAACAGAAGCAGGCTGAAGTCTGTCAGAGGGAGGAAGGAAAGCATTTACAAGTCTACTTAGAACAGCTCCAGCCTGCACCCAAAGATTGCAATTATGAGATGTGTTCTGCAAGTTTAGCAACCAGAGAGCCAGAATTACAGATAGGCTGTGTTGTCAGGAGCCTTCTTGATGTGGGAAGCAGTGCATCATTCCAGTGTTCCTGCCTGCCTTCTTTTTGCTAGTCTGTGCTGGCCACAGGCTGCAGGATCTCCCTTTGTGGCTAGATGAGGCTGACAGTAAAGGTTTGCTGGTTTTCCATCTCTCCCCGATCATATGTTATGGAAGGGTAATAGATAATGTGCAGTCCAAGCAGTCATGTAACTGTAACTTTGAATGACCTGTTTTACCAACTGGTACCCTTCTTTGGGCTCCATTCCTGTGTTTACTCCAGCTCTAGCTCCTAACTCAAGTCACTGTGCACAAAGCTCTTAAAAAAATCCAAGGCATACTCTGACCATGGAAAAGTCATCTTCACTCCCTTCTCCTGACTGGCAGCAGTCGTGTCCCCAGAGGGGTCATCACAGGTCCCTGTTTTCCCTCTGCCTTTACCATGCTTCATAGCTTGTCCCAGGCTGCTTCCCTCTTCTCAGATCTCTCTGGGTTCCTTTTTCAGCAACTCGTTGTCATTGCTGCCTGCTCACAAGGCTCCACACATGCCAAGCATGGAACTTCTAGCACCCAGGGGACTGAGTACAGACACCTTCTCTGAGGGGTCATGGAGACTGGGATTCAAGAGCATTTAGGGCAAACTCAAGTGTCCAAATATAGAGCAGTTTGGGTCCTACATGAACATAGGTGTTCCTTTCCTGTTTGTGGCTCAGTTGGGCAACTTTCAGTCTGAGAATTAGACTGAAAGAGAGAAAAGAGAGCAATCCTACGGAAATGTCAAGGCAGCCTCAGCCTCTGAATCAGGACAGGTAATGGCTGCTCCTGGGCATCTTACTCCAACTCAGGGCAGTTGCTACTGGAAAGAAGTATTCATAAGAGAAAGGTCTAGAAAGGGTCTCAGCTCTTTCCTTATGCACCACAGCAGGGTCAAATTAGAGCTTTTCCATTAGAGGCTGGTAGAGCCTCTGGAGACATGGGGGTGTAAAGCACCATGCAGATACCAGGGAGCTTCATCATCAGCCTCTTTACTACTCTCCGGTATTCAGCTGTCTTCAGAAGGGTATGTGGGACTTGGGGTTCAAATGCACTTTCCACTTCTGACTGTATTCACACAAGGATGCTTGTCTCTGAGTAGCCTTGTGAATACCGCCTTAGTGCTGGGCTTAAATGAGAGCAGGGAGATGCAGTTCATCTGATGTTTCTTATTTACATAATTTTGGAAAGCAGCGTGAATATGATGCTGTGTTTCTCTGCTATCCCTTCCAGAACATTGGGAAGAAGATGACCTGCCAAGAGTTCATTGCTAACCTCCAGGGGATGAATGATGGCAAAGACTTCCCAAAAGGGCTGTTGAAGGTAAGGAATGAACTGCAGAACATGGGTTTCATTCTTAGTAAGAGGTGGTTAAAAACAGAACACCCTGCTTGCATTTTCTGAACCTTAATTGTCAAACACAACAAGTAATGGCCATGCTTTTCCTCCCAGAACATATATACAGTGTTTATTCTGTGGTTTTCCGTCTTGCCTTCACTAGATTGTGATTGAGACTCTATACAAACACAGGGAGGCAAGACTCAACTTCAGTAGGGCCAGCTCCAGAGCTGTGTGTCTTATAAGGTCATGTGGTAATGCTGTCCAAGGGCACTGTCTCCTGATTAAAGCAGCCAGAAACAGCCAGTTGATTCTCACTATTGAGTATGTAAGGGCTAATCCTGAGCTCTGCGTTTCTGGAAGGCGGGTGTGTTTTTTCATCAAAGGTGATTTGGGTTTTTCATATTAGAGCAGGAGATGTAATTTCAGATTAGAATGTGTTGTCTGGCACAGGTTGCTTTGCTTCAGGTTTTGTTCATTAAATTTGCACCAGGAGTTAAATCTGAAGAGCAGAGAAAGTGGCTGAGCAGGATGAAACTTGTTTCATTGTCAATAATAATATATTTCATTTCTCTTTTGTGTGATTGCTGGCATGAAACGGCAGTCTGTTTGAATAAAGAGAGGAACGCATACACTAGAGTTCATAATTTTTTTTGGTAATGGAAATAAAAATGAGAGGTTGCTGCATCTGAGAGCTGACCCAAAGCCTACCAAAGTAAATCAAAAGAATTGCTATCTCTACTGTGGGTTTTGTCAGGCCCATTATGAAATACAGATGTACCCGCATAGTTTCAAGGGGCAGACTTTGGTTTCTAGTATTGGTAGTTTCTTCCATTTCTCTAGCCTCTTTGGGGAGCTTTTTATTGAACCTTCCTGCCTCAGTTCTTACTAAGGAGTTAGGAATAGAAACTCAATCCCCTTGTTTTTGAGATTTAATGTCTTTATTTTTAAAATCTGGATGCAGAGTATTCATCTGTTAGCAGCAATGCTTTATTTTTATTTTTTTTTTCCCAAGGAATCTCATTTCTCAGTCTGCCATAGAGAGATGTGTTGAGATTAATTTGCAGGCTAATTACAACCCTCATTGAATAAAATGGTCTCCAGACTGTGTTTAAATAACCTTCAGAGCATATTGATGAGAGATATCCACTGGTGCTCAACTGCTGTTCTGGCTGACAGGATTACGCAGTCAGGGCTTTATATTGGTGTTTAGTACTGATCTGATAATCCTAAAACTGCCTGGCTCTTCACCAGCCCACTTAAAGCAAGCACCAGGGCTTGGGATTTTTTTGTATGTAGCAGGATGGAAGAAACCTGGTGTCCTCTCTCATTTGAGACTTTCTGCCCTTTTCTGCATGCCGTTCTGGTGTCTTGCGGGCAGAGGTGGCCCCCAGCCTCAGTCTCTCATTTGGCTTGTCTGAAGATTTGCTGATGATCTGCCCCTTGTTTTAGTGGAGGATGAGTGGAGTTAGTGACAGTAATGATGCATTTCAGTAGCTACATCACTGTGTCTGCAGCAGCCACCTTTACCACTAGATAAGCAGTTACAAAGACTTAGCAGAAATTAAATTCGTATTAGTTTCAATAAATCAAATTCACAGAGCCCTGCTTCAGCACAGCACCAAAGTGCATATGGGTTGTCAGTGCATTAGGAGTGTAGCTAATGAGCATCTGGGAGGCTGAGGCATCTCAATGTGTCTTTCCCCAGCTGTCTGCGAGAGGAAGGACCATTTCCACAGGGTGGCAGTGTGCCCCTGTGGGAGCGAGGTGAGTAACCCATACCCGTGGGGAAGCAAGTGGGCTTTTCTGCCTCTCCAGTCTTTCTGCATTCCCCTTGTGGCTTTGCTGCACTCCTGTAAGAAGCTCTGCAACTTTACCAAACCCTGAAGCAAAGCTGAGCGGTGCTGGAGGGGAAAGGAGAGAGGTCTTAGCAAGTGCTCATGTCTTTGCAGGTAGCGTTCATCCAGGGTTTGGGAAGCTCTCTGCAGCATTTACCACGGACCCAATTCACAGAATCAAGGGTGCAAATACTGCTTGCGCTATCCAGGACAGTCAGCTGACAGGCAGAAATCAAACATTGCCTTCAGTCAATCCTATCATTCTTAGTGCCACTGAGTGCACAGTGTGGCCCTGAGTGTTTCTTTTGTCTGGATAGAAAAATAGCCCTTCAAGGGGAGACATCAATACATGTGACGAGGGGCATGTCTGTATTCCATGTAATCAGCCTCAGAAAACTTACCATGGGAGAGCTGGTTGCTCCTGTCACTCCACTTCTATGAGTGAGAGATCTCTTTGTTTTATTAAGGTTTTTTTCCCAGCAATAAGGATGCTTTGGTAAACATTACAAAGCCTTCAGGACATGATTCTGTGTGTTACTGATAGTGCTTTGAGAACACAGATTTTGCTCTGGCTAGAGATGGAAATGAGAAATGCTAATATGATCTCGCTCACCTTGAGTGTCCATTAACACTGAAAAGAGTTTCACTTTTGTACACTCATCTGCACAAAGATTCATCTCTCTTTCTTTTTCCTCATTCCTTGAAGTTGCTGTTAAAGTTGGGAGCCATAATGGCAAATATGTCAAACTGTGATTATGTGTGATTCTCCCCATGGGATCTGCTTGCGGTATTCATATATTCAGTCCTTTGCCAGGCAGGCAGATATATGTACCTTCCCTTTTATTCCATTTTAGCTCCAGTTTGACCATCTGTCACACATCCCATTAGTTTGCCATCAGCTGCTAGTAAAGACTAGATGTGGAGACAGTAGCCTGATTTCCAGTTACACCTGAGAGTGGTAGTTTATACTTACTGCAGGATTCCTGTATGCCTTCAATCTGGGGCAAATTCCTTATAAATGAGAGCCAGCATAAAAACCTGTAATTCTCCTATCTGGTATAAATCAGGAATATCTATCTCTGTGGGTCTGGCTGATATAGAAGGTGAGTCAGGTCTCTTAAATCCAGGCAGATTAAGGTTATTGAAAGAAGAATTTTTCAAAAGCAAGAAAACTTTCTGAAACTGTGTCTTTGGACTCTGAGCTGTCACACTCCAAGCACACAAATAATTTTGTATTGTATCAAGCTGTGATCAGGCAGTGTGATACTGAATTTCAGCATTGATCTTATACTTTCCTGTAACAGAGGTCCCTTTGTCCTGCTGAGTTGAAGCCCTGGAAGGAGTGCTAAATACCAAGACTTGTAACTACCCATGTTCTAGTTAGTGCTGTGGATGGGTCAGTGCTCACTCGGAAGGCTTGTGGTGAATCACACAGTTACCAGCCTTTACAGGTGTGAATGAGTGACAGGTTTACTGGGGCTGAGACACACAAAGGGATCCAGCTGCAGCACTTGTCTCCTCAGAGCAGATATACCTGACATCCCAGATTAGCTGCTGCAGATGCTTCTGCACCTGATGAGGGAAGCTGGAGGAGAGATGCAACATCACTGTGAGAGCGAACTGACCAAACCAGAAACAGTTAAAACAAGTTAAGTCCAACTTGTATGTTGTTAGGCCAAGAGAATCACGACAAGACCATTGTTCGTTTATTGCCGTAGAAAGGGAGGCCATGTCTAAGGTCTCTGTACTTGGAAGGGAAACTAAATCAGTCTGGGCCAATGTAAGGAACCTCATGACTTCACTCTAGGAGCAGTTTATCTGCAAGTTCCTTCCTCCTGTGCTCACACCAGCTTTAATTTCGTGCAGTGATACCACCTTCACTGATGATACTCTGGGTTTACATTATGTGACCACAACCACCTTCAAAGCTGGTCTTCATGAGATTGTCTGGAATAATAAGAGCAGGAGATTGGCTTGGAAAGAGCCTAATTTGGCCATGCATGCTTGCTTCATTTCCTGCAGGCAGTGCAGTCCCCCACGAATGAAGTGCTGGTATAGTGCTGGCCACTGTGTTCCTCTTTGTCACCTTGTGGCAAGGTGTGTGAGTCCACTGCAGCAGGGTGGCATGACAAGGCTTTTCTTATGCAAGGAGAGAAAATGTCTGCCCCAGCCCACAGAGAGCCTGCAGGGAGTCATCTCTGAGCAAAAGGATCTCTGCTTTTGTTAGGCACTATCCTTGGAAGGGTACTCTGTTGTTAGGCTGTTTGCTAAGTACCACCTGGCCATGTTGTCCCGCATATGTAAATGTCCCCTGCATCTACAGTGTCCAAGGTACATCAGTCATGGAGTCCAGGGCATCACCCAACCTCTAATGTGGGCTAATTCTGGTGGCTGTGCTACCCCATGACATAAACACTGGATGTGAAAGGATCCTACTTAGCTGTGTGTCTTTTAGTAGGAGGTGGTAGCTCTTTGCTAATGCATCGTGCTGCCAGGGAGCCTCTCCATCATGCTGAGTGACCTGGGATGCTCTACAGGGACTTGACTAGAACCATCCTGGCAGGGGCTGCTGATGGAGATAAGATCCTGTGTAAAAAATCTGCTTTTTCTCAAAGGCTGTTTTTTGGCTAGGTCTTTATTTCCTGGAAAAGCACTGTCATGAAGTGACCAAATTAAGTGGGAGTTGCTGGTGCTGAACTCTTCTGATGAACTAGTCTTCCTTAATTTCCTAAATGATCTGAATTCTTAATCAGGATTGCTGGGATATGTAATTTCCTAAAAAAGCTGCAAGGTATGGTTTATCTCATTTTCGCATCAGTTGTCTGCACTTTAATTAAAGACTTTTTTTCCCCCCACTGTCTTTCTGCACCCTCTCTCTCTCTTTTTTTTTTTTTTTTTTCCT